ATATATTTTAAAAAATCTTAAAGCCAGCCCTTATCATTCATATACTTATCAAGCTTTTTCTTAAACTCGCTTAAATTTACTGCCACAACAACATCTGAAGACAACCCATTCCAAAGGCCAACCACCCTGTTAGAAAAATAAAACTGTCTTAGCTGAAGATGACTCTGCCAAAATTTATATTTGTGTCCCCTAGTTCTACTATTCTCACTGTTAAATATGAAAAAGATGATGCATCAACACTATCAATTCCCTTTACAATTTTAAATATCTCAATCAGATATCCCCTAACTCTTCTTTTTTCAAGAGAAAACAATTTGAGAGATTTCAGCCTCTCCTTGTATGACAACTCTTACATCCCAGCCATCATCCTAGTAACCCTTCTCTGAACCCTTTACAATAATTCAATGTCCTCCCTAAGGTAAGGAGCCCAAGACAGAACACAATATTCCAAATGTAGCCTAGCCAGTGACCAGCGCAATGAAAGTATAACCTCTTTAGACTTGTATTCAATATTTTCTGTAGATAGAACCTAAAATTCTATTTGCCCTACCACTAGTAACAGCACTGTTTGGGTAACTTAAGAGACTGATCAATCATTACATCAAGATCCCTTTCTTTTATGACACTGTTAAGGTTATTCCCATTTACGTTATACGTATAATTCAAATTATTATAACTCGCATGCATTTATTATAATTAAAACCAATTTGCCACATGTCTGCCCAACTCGCTAAATGATCTAAATCCTTTTGTAAATCAGCAGCACCCTCTTCACAGCTAGCAACACCCGAGTCCTTAATATCACCCACAAATTTAAGTAATTTATTGACCATTCCTTCTTCTATGTCATTGATGTAAATTAAAAAGAGCAAAGACCTAATACTGAGCTCTGAGGTACCCCACTTGTGACATTAATCCAGTTTGACTGAACTCCATTTGTAACAACCCTCTGCTTTCTTCCATCCAGCCACTCTTCTATACAATTTGCTAAGTTATCCCCCACACATATAAAGATAATTTTTTTACAAGCCTTTTATGTGGAACCTTGTTAAATGCTTTCTGAAAATCCAGATACACCAAATCTACACTCTTACCCTCATCTATATAAGCAGTAATCTTTTCAAAGAATGTCAAAAGTTTTGTACGGCAAGATTTTCCCTTAGTGATACCATTTTGACTATCTAGTAAAATTCTAAATTTTGTTAAATGACTTTGTAAAACATTTTTTATCTTTTTTTTTAAAAAGGCTAAGATTAAATTAATCTGCTACACTTTATAATCTCTAATATCTTCCAAGAGGTTTTAAGCCATCTCATCAGAACGGGACAAGCAGTTTGTAAATAACAAAACAAGAAAAAACATTATTCTCTTATCAGTGGATATTTTAATAATGGTTTGGATTCTAAAATCAATAAATATTTTAATTGTGGTGTTAGGAATTTGAAAAGCTTGTTTCGGAGTGGGATATGAGAAAAGTCTGAATCCCAAACATTGGTGAAAAAGGAAGTCAACACCTTGTGTATGAATTTAATGTTGGAGATGTTTAATGTTTTGATTGTTTAGTTTTGAAACTTGATTTATTACTAAGATGATTTGGGTAAGCCTTAAGTTATGATATGATAATCATAAGCCAAGATGAACAACAGGATCATCCCTGTTTGAACAGATTTGAATGCGTGTACTGTTGGTTGTGTTTAATGTTGAAGATGTTTACTGTTGGTTGTGTTTAACGTTGAAGACGTTTACTGTTGGTTGTATTTAATGATTAATTATAGAACTTATTTATTATTGTATTAGTTTACTGTGGAATTACTTGTACACGAGGATAATGCAAATCACGTTATTAATTAGCTCAGAGAACGTTTATCATATGTAAAAATTAAGTATATATTCTTTACTTCAGGTCTTGCCGTTAAATGCTACCTGTGCAGCTGGAGTCCTAACGACCAGAACAACCAAACCGATTCCTGTACCGAGGAAAACTTTAATCCTAATGCTGTCTACAGTGTCGAGTGCAGCCATGGTTGTGAGGCTTTTTTTCAGTGGGACTCTAACGGTGAGTTTTAGCATACCGTCGGTTTACGTGCGTTTCACAGTTCAACTTGTTTTTAAAATTTCGTTAATGTAGATGAGAAAGAAGAGATCCTGGTAATTATAATGAATATAAATTTAAAATTGTTTAAATTGGTAATAGTTAATTTATATACAGCATTAGAAATAATGATGGAAACGATGAGAAAAATAGTATAAAAGGGAAATGTCATCCCTTTATCGTGTGAAAATGAAATGCACTAGAGTATAGTCACGTGCTCATATCTTACACTGTAGTTGGTTGTCATCCAACAAATCAGAAAGTGCTACATCAGTATAAAGTATATAAAAGTACAGACAGTAATACTATGCCTAATAGGAGTAGTGTAAATCCAGTCATGGCTCCTAGGGCTGGAATACTTCGTGACAAGCTTGTAGAATTCAGATTTTTGGCTGGTCAAACAAACTCCTTACGCAATATTACAGCAAGTTCGGTAAGACTCTGAAGAGGGTACGTGACACAATTATTGTTAATAATAACAATGGTCAAGGTAGAAAATCTAAACTCTCCAAAAGTGATATGATCTTTAGAAGGTAGATGACTCTCGAGTACAGATCTTTCCAACGACTTTGCTGCAAATATAGATGTAAATGTTACCTCAAGAATAATAAGATACACATCAGCACAAAATGGTCCTAATGGATTTATAGTTGCTCTAAAACAAATGCTGAGAACAGGTAACGAAATCAAAAGATTGAAACTGGCATCGGACCACAAACATTGGAACAGACAAAGCTGGAGACATGTACTCTTCACACATGAACCCAAATTCAAATTGTCCAGAAAATCAACGTAATTTTCTTCAATGGCAGAGAAAAGACAATATCTCAATATACAAGATATATAGTGTGGTATGGGGGTGGTCAATATAACTTTGGGGCAGAATCTTGGCGAATGATGTTGGTGATCTACATAAAATTGATGGCACCTTGACTGCTGAAAGGTACAGCAGTTTCTGATTCAATGTGTCTTTCCCTTAGGGAGAGAGATGCAACTTCCAGCAAAACGATGATCCCAAGCATACAACAAATGTGGAGAAACAATATTTTAATTGCAAAGAGGCTGATGGAACACTCACAACTATGGATTGGCATGCAAAAAGTCCCAATATGAACACTATTGTCACTGTAGGAGCGTACTTTAAAATTGAGAAGGTCAGAAGTCACCGAAACAATGTCTGTATTGTGGGGAGTAATACAGTTCGTTTGAAACAATATTCCGTAATTTTACTTTGACAAGCTGTATGGCAGCATGAAAACAAGGTGTAATGCAAAGTGTGAAACAAACGGCTCACATGATTTTTCTGTACATTGCATTTTAATTTCACGTATCGACCCACTACAATGACGACATACATTTTCTTTCCGTGTCCCGTGAAGCTAGCCTCCCTCGTACCATGTTTTTTCTGTTTCAAAATTGTTTACATAAATCGTTGTTCATTCGTGTCATTTCTCGTTTATAATCCATTGTAGTACCATCATCTCTATGTTCGTGCATAATTTCGTTTAAAAACCACTGGATGTTATAACATCTGTTCATATGTATATACATTGACTTTACATTAGTTGTTTTTAAAATACAGAACTGGTTGATCATCTTCCTTCATCAGCATGTATATTTTTGTTTAACAGCTTTTAAGTATATTATAATTTGGGGCATTGATTATTTTTCCTCCATAAGGCGTGTCTCTTGAAAAAACAATGGTGGTTGAGGCAGTACAGGCTGTTTTCCGTCGCCACCATAAGTCAAAATAAACAACATGATCATCCTATTTCAATAGGAATTAGATCTCGCTGTCAGAGGATCCTTATGCAGGTGATCTGATGAAGACTTCTGCTGATAAGTATCCTAATGAAGTATTCTACTAAAATGATTAGATAAAATCCTTTACCATCTGCCCAAAAATTTGATCAGTTCTTGTTTGAATACAATATTACAAAGACATATTACATTCCACCATAAGAGAGGAAAGTTTGTGTTTTATTTCTGGTACCCCCAGTTACTCAAAAAGAAAGAAAATCGTGTGACAGTGATGTTACCGATTTCAGAACATCATTATCCACAAAAGTCCAGACAAAATTATTTAATATTTCGTTAAAAAACTCTGAATAACGTACATATAATTCCTAGGGGATGGCTAAATACCTGGACTTTTACCCGAAACAAGACTTAATAATAATGACAAGTTCACAGCAACTTTATGAGGAGTAAACCAGTCCAGGCAGAAGGTTTTCAAACAACAAGCTACAGGGCCTCAACGTAAATATCAAGATACATATCAGCAGGCCACACGTCATCAACGTAAAGTAGATAAAAAATATCAGCAGATTACAGGGTTTCAACGTACAGTAGATCAAAAATATCAGCAGATTACAGGGTTTCAACGTAAAGTAGATCAAAAATATCAGCAGATTACAGGGTTTCAACGTAAAGTAGATCTACTGATTCTCATCCGACTACAGGACTTTAACACAAAGCAGTTCTAATACTAAATGATAAAAACCCTATAACCTGAGTGCTTTCGAAAGGTGGACATTTCTTCTTCAGGGGCAAACTGCAGTTCTAATAGTACTCAACGGAATGCAAACCTTTAACGTAAAGCAGGTCTAATCAACAGCTAACTACAGACCTTTGGCGTAAAGCAGATCTAATCAACAGCTAACTATAGACCTTTAGCGTAAAGCAGATTTAATCAACAGCTAACTATAGACCTTTAGCGTAAAGCAGGTCTAATCAACAGCTAACTATAGACTTTTAGCGTAAAGCAGATCTAATCAACAGCGAACTACAAGGCCTCAACGTATAGCAGACCTAATCAACAGCTAACTACAAGGCCTCAACGTATAGCAGACCTAATCAACAGCTAACTACAAGGCCTCAACGTATAGCAGACCTAATCAACAGTTAACTACAAGGCTTTAACATAAAGCAGACCTAATCAACAGCTAACTACAGGCCTCAACGTAACAAAATAGCTACGAAATTATCTATAAGAACGGGTTTGATGTTAGCGTGTTTTTGAGTTGTTATATGTTACTTGAATTTTATATCAATCCAAAGTTTGGCATTTTCATATTCTATTTGCCAAGAATACTCGAATAATATTTCATATTATACCGAAACGCTATAGTGAACAGCTTCAAATTGTTATACGCCAAGAAACACGTTTTCTTTCAACAGACACGCATGAAACGTTTGGGGAGTAAGTTTCGACATAATTTTATTCAAGTAATTTTGATGTCGAGAGAGGTTAGCATATACTTGTACTAACAGTGAACAGTTAGAGAAGAAAACTACTAGTTCCGTTCCTACAACATGTACAGACGATTATAATATCTAGAGACTACGATTATAATATCTACAGATTTAAAGCTCTTAAATACGACAATTGTTTCGCTAATAAGCATTGTTTAAGAATTGTAGTCTCGCTTCTGGGCAAAAGTATTTGATAATAATCGTGATGATTCTAAATAAACATTTTGCATAATAAGAATAGATATGAATCACCTTGAACAAGGCCGGGGTCACGCTTACGCGTTGTATTACGTCATAGTTTTTGAATAGATTACGTCATGTTTGTGCATTAAGTCATGAGGGCGTGAGCGGGTCGAAGCCACCTATCAATTAAAATCGGTGTAATCTCGCCCAGTAGTACTTACTATTCAATCCAATATGCCCACCTGCTGGATGAGCGGAAAGTCTGATGGTTCGTAACGCGAAAAGTCGTGTTTTGATACCAGCTGTGGGCGAAGCACAGATAGCCATTGTGTAGTTTTGTGCTTAACAGCAAACAAATAAAATAATAAATTCAGTGATACGGAATAAAATCGGTAATAATAGTAACTTTCATATGAACGCATATTTACATTGCAACTTAAGTATTTAATAATTATGTCTTTGTATATTTACATTGCAACTTAAGTATTCAATAATTATGTCTTTGTATATTTCAATATCATTTAATGGAATTCAAAAATCGTTAATGTTTCAATAAACGTGGGAACAAAATACACCTTTATCTTCTTTGAAGTTAAATTAAGTTTCTTTTATAAGACATGAGATTGGGTAGTAATACCGTGTTTATTTTCGTGTCGACGAACAAAGAATAAGCACTTTATTGAAAATGTTACATTTGTAATCTGCAGAAACTTCCATATTTCATAGACAATGGTTTTATGAATCTGTCTGCAACTACTTCACATGCCACAAATAATAGTTCTGTGAATCTGCCTGCAACTAACCCAAATGCCATAAACAATAGTTCTGTGAATCTGCCTGCAACTAACCCAAATGCCATAAACAATAGTTCTGTGGATCTGCCTGCAACTTCTTCAAATACCTCAAACAGCAATCATGTTAATCTACCTACAACTGCTTCAAATGTTACACACAGCGGTTCTATGGATCTGCTTGCAACTGTTTATATTATTTTGTTGTTGTTGTTGTTACTACAATTTATTGAATAAGTTTCTGTAACTATTTCATTTTTTCAGGAGTTTTGGAGCATTCAAGACGAAATTGTATGCAAAATGGAGTCGAAGAAAGAAATTCGTGTGTGAACGAAACCAAACCAGCGTGGACCATGTACCGCTGCACTTGCGACACTGATTTTTGCAACACTGCAGCAGCAAGACATCCGTCAACAGTATTTTATGCTTTCGTCATTGTAATCTTTTGGAGAGTTATTACCATTTAATTATTCATCACAGCCAGTCGCTTTGGATATTGGCATGGTCCGAGTAACTACTGCTAACCTATAATTTTCAAACGCTGGCGTTATTGACCAATATGACATCTGGTGTACTGATTCCATCTGTCGTGTAACATGTTTGCTGTCTTTTAGATAACAAGTCATATTTTACATAATATTGAACAAAAGAAAATCTGCCATTTCTAACTTTTCTACTAGTCTCGTTTTTGCGCGATTGAAAGTATTTTATAACAATTAATTAACCATTTAGCACTATTGGACAGATGACGCTAGTGCTGTAAAAGCAATCTATATATTGCCTTACCTAAAGTTGAATTAATAATATTAATATACGTGTCTAAGTATTGACGCTTTTTTGCTTTATATAACGAGCTGTGTGATAAGCCTAATTCAAGTTTTCAACTGTGGCCTTTAAAAAAAAAAATAACACGGTGAAGTACACATATTAAAACGGTTAGAAATTTGGCATTTATATAACCTAAAAATAACGGGCTATTATTTGTTTGACTATTAAAATACATATTTATTAGGTATAATACTATGAAAAATTAGTTCTTTTTTTTGCACTTTCATTCAGGAATTAATGGCTGCTTTCTGGAAACAACTTACAAAAATATTTCGAAGAGCATTAGAGTTTACTCAAATGACAGTCGGTGGTTATTGTTAATAAATATATCTGTGATAATTTCAGACCTTAAAAGAAAACCATATGGTATGAGAAACAAATTACTTTCATTGTGTTTATAGTATATAAGGTGTTATATTTATAAACACACATTAAAATATAATTTGGTCGTCACGTTCACGGTTGCTATTTTAGAAAAACTGGTCTCTAAATAGGTTTGTTTAATAAGTATATTTGCTTGTTTACGTAATTTATTATTATCGTAATTGCCGTGGGGCCTTTTTATTTGTTTATAAATACATTTAATTTTTGTATTTGTTAAATAATTAAATATCCTTGGAATAGTTACGGAACTATATAAAAAATAATAATAACAATTCAAAGCTTTTCATTTCTCATTAATCAAATTTGAATTTTTGAAACCACATGAGGCTGGTGTCTTTGATTCATAGAATCCACTTATCTTGTGCTCTGGTATATATTTGGTATTCTGTCGGGAGTATCAACACAGTCTTCCAGCGTGTGTTGTTCAGTGTTTGAACTGACATTACAGATCCAATACTACCTGTGAAGATGTAGTTATTCTTCATACTATTATTACGTATTTTTGAATATGAAATAAGGAATTAAGATTTAATTACTGTCTTCAGTTAAACTTGAGAATGGTCGTTGTTGTTGTTTTCTTTGTTTTAGCAGTATTTTCTCATTTTTCACGCGGGCATGGTACATTCACTGCGTTGAGGGGTATCGATGTATAATGTTAGAGGGTAGGCATCCAGTTGTAAAACGTCTTGAATATGGTTACATTCCAAATTTAATTTGCCATAAGCTAGCAGAATTTAAACGTTTTGTGAACTAACGTTCGTTTGAAATCTTCTGAATTAAAGCCTTCTCACTTGAACTAAAAAAAATAATTTTGAATATATTTCTGTTACCTTTATGCTCAGTGCCAATATGTTACTATTTCGATTGTTCAAGAAATAACTTACCACGTTCTTTTTCCTTTAAAAAGAACGCATATATCGCTTATATATGTACATGTTTATAATAAACTTATTTAGATCTTTTCCAACATTAGTTTAATCACTGTTTCTCTAGTAACAACAATAACAAATTTTCAAGAGTACAGGTTAACACTGACTCCATATCTATACCATTTATTATATTATACGCTTAGATTTTTCAAGTTAAAAGCAGGACAGTCAGAAGGGGGAGCCACTTCACCCCCTTTGTTCCAATGAAGATCCCCACGGTATTAAAAGTTTTATGAATAGATGAAAAAACCGTTCGACTCTATATAATAAAAATCACCCCGTCAACAGCAAAATTCGATTTAGTAGAAACTACATAATATTACCGATGAATGAGCTCCCTCTACCTAAAAATTCGATGTAAAAAATGAATTAAAATAAATTAATAATAGTCAGGGCCGGGACTTCTAATGATAGACAAGGGTCCCTTTAATAACAGACAGGGAAGGGACCCTATACACTGAGTGGCAGAATCCAAACACTCATTTAAAATGAAAAAATAACAGTAAACGTTTTATAAGCATAAAAATGTATACTACCACGATGAGGCACATGCCTTGTCATTTTTTGGCAATGGTCTTCTTCGTATCCCAAGATATTAAATCTACAAAGGGTCCCCATAATAGTAAATGAACAAGAAGAGCCTGATAGTAAATCGACAGAGACCCAGTTAGTAAATGGACAAGAGGGCCCCTTGCTAGTAAATGGACAGGAGAAGACCCGGTTAGTAAATGGGCAAGAAAATCCCCTGATAGTAAATCGACAGAGACCCAGTTAGTAAATGGACAAGAGGGACCCTTGCTAGTAAATGGACAGGAGAAGACCCGGTTAGTAAATGGGCAAGAAAATCCCCTGATAGTAAATGGACAGAAGACCCAGTTAATAAATCTAAAATAGGGCTTCTTGATTCTAAATGGACACAAGAATAGTCCCTGATAGAAATCATAAAATATATTTAATTGTAACGTGTTTATATACTTGTTTGATATTTGTATATTATAATTCTTTCTCACGAAGTCGCTATAATTTACTAATTTCTATGTCGCTCCATTATAAGCACTGTACACAAATCGTAACAGCCAATGAACTTGCATCGATCTTTCTGTTAATTAATTTATATTGAGATCAATAAATACGTTTTATGATCTCTAATAGTTTTGTTCCAAACTAAGAATTACGTCACGCCACTTTAACAAGTTATCTGGTAACCTGCATTATGAGTACTAATATAAATCTCATTTCTTTGAGCACCATTTTCGTCTTAAATTTTTGTTTTTTAACTACTTTAATACGCATACTTTTTTATTTTGTATTGAAATTATGGGACCCCAAAGTTAACTAATGGAATCCCCTGAAAAAGTCGTCCCCCTTTTCAAAATTATTCGTAAGGGCCAAACATGTGACTTTGTAGTAACAATTTTAGAAAACTGTGGAAATCTTGTTGATTTCAATCATTCACACGAGATTGATTTTGAAAAAGATGCTTAGTTCATTATTTCCTTTTAAAGTGTATATGGATAATGTGTTCAGCATATGGATTGAGTTCTTCGTGGACTTCACTTGTCGTTTCATTGATTTCGAGACGACGTTTTGGACACTATTTTGAATTCTTAGATCCAGTCTTGATGAATGCCTCAGTATGGAACCCGAAACATTGTCTCGAAGGTAATAAAAAACGACAGAAATCCATAGAAAACTCAGTCAGTATGTTAGTTGATAATTATCGTGTATTGCGAAGATAGGTTGCTAAACATTTATTCAGCTTAAAATGGCAATTTATTGTCTAAGCTGGCTCAGAAAATTCTGTTTGAAGTAAAACATTTGGCGTTAGCTAAATATCACTGTGTCAAGTGCCACCTAACTTACGTAAGCAGCACTATGCAAAGGTTATCTGTAACGTTGAATGCGACATGTTAACCTTCATAATTTTTTGTTTGTTTTGAGATAAAAATAAAAAGTCAGTTTTCTAAGCTGAAAAAATGCAGAATTGTTTTCAATATTTTTTTATATTCTCTTTGATTCGTTGGACTGCTTATTTTGAGCTCTGGTAATTCCACTAAGTTTAATTTTTTTGACAATTGCATCACTATCCTCAGCACTTCCTCTTGGATGTTTAAACTGACGTTGACGTAACACTACCACTAAATATTTTTAGCTGAAAGATTGAGTTACGGCTGCAAACAAATTATAATTATTCTTTAAGAAATATTATATTACTTTCGACTTTCATTTAAAACAAGTATTTTGTATATAAAGAGACATATAAACCTCCACTTTAGATAGTATATAATTATTATATTTATAATGGGAAAAAAGTTACATTGTTGTACTCTGATTACAATGTTTGAGAGCTTTACTAGAGGCTGATAGCATGTCAAGTAATTTATGAATAATAATAATAAGTAACGTATTATCTAAATAGCTAATTTTCTGAGCTGAATATTATTATTCTTCAACTTTTCGTGAAAGCTTTTATATTAGTGTGAAACGTGTCCATTTTTAACTTTTTTATGTTAAGTTGCTAAGCCTAATATTGTCAAAAGCAGATTTCTTCAAAAGTAATTTATAATCTGCAATTTTAGTAAGAACAGAAGCTACTGAAAACGTTAAATTGATGTGTTTATATTTAAGTTGTGTTCTTTTTTGAGAGGGGGAATATACGAGGGTTTATTGTTTCTTTTTAATTTTGAAGATAGAATATTACAAGAAGAAGTGGCATATTCTTGAGCGCGCGCAGCCCAGTGGTTCGCGTCCCATTACCCCCCCCCCCCAAAAAAAATTGCAATCAGCACCCTTGCACCCACTGTTCAGTCTGAAAAGAGTAGCATGATGTTTCTAGTACCTTTCTTCGGATACACGAAGTTTCAGGTTGGATGTTACAACAAATAGAATAATAAGATAGTTCAATCCGTTATGCACTATAAATTTATAAATAAAAGTATAAAACTATAACACACGATCAGAAAAAAAAAGTTAACAAAAACCTGTGTATAGACTAGAATGATCGAATATAAATTACACGAGTGATATCCGAAAGGCATAATCAAAACTGTGATATTAAATGATATAAACATTAAAAATATTAATATCCAGACCAAGACTAACTAGCATTTATTTATCATAAATTAATAAAATACCTCTAGAGTGTGTTAAAATCGTTTGTTTTTGTACTGTTGACTTTATCTTATTATTTATTGTTTTGTAGTGTAGCATATGATGGAATCGAACGTTTTTAGAATTCCGTTTGCTGTGGCATTTGTGCACCTGAAGTAGGGTGACCTGCCTGAAACGTCATGCTTATAAATAGACGTTTTAAAGCTGTTAAAATATTAGGCCGCACGATGCTAAACTCGTTCTTACAGTAAACTAGAAACAAAGAACACTAATTCCATACGTGATTATAGGATATGTCACAGCGAGATTCCCACGCTCGGTTCCTGCTAATTATGATCATATCTTGGTTATTTTTAAAATCGCTGCTATTATCAGAATATTCCCCCTCCCCCAACAACAAAAAACGAAAGTGACATTTATTTTGTGTCTTTAAATTAAAAAGACAAAAAAACCTAAAGGTATTTTCTTCTTTCAACCTGTTTTTATTGTGAGTTTAAAATTTAGGACAAAGAACCTGATACAAAGCCAACAAATTGAGAAATTTTCAACTAGCAATGTGTTTCTTTTAGTTAATTGATAAGAAATACGTTCCATCAAAACGCGCTCATTGCATAATATTGTTTGTTATTAAAATGGTTAGGATACTCAACTCGCAGTCTGTGGGTCGCAGGATCGAATCCTGTCATCGAACATGTTTGCCCTTTCAGCCGTGGGTGCGTTATAATACGACGGTCAATCAGTGTCATTATTCGTTAGTAAAAAGTAGCCCACAAGTTGGCGGTGGGTGGTATTGTCTAGCTGTCTTCCTTAAATTAGGACGGCTAGAGCAGATAGCCCTCGAGTATTTTTGCGCGAAATTTAAGAAGCAAACTTGTTAAGTGCAATGCTGTATAATGGGCTATGCCCATGTAGGAATCGAAGCCAGAATGTTGGCGTTAAAGTTCTAAAATTTACTTCTGAGCCATCTGAAGGCTTTGTAAATGGATGTACGACTTTTCAAGAATATGTACTGTATGTTGATGTTGTCTGTTCAATAGTTTTAAGATAACTTTCAATATTGAAACTTTAGTATTTTTAA